CTTCTAAATCCCGGCGATAATTATAGCCATTTAGCCTTTCTGGTCGGAAAAAGGGTCCAGTTAAGTAAGTTCCAATTCCAGCCCAAACATTTACCGAAAACTGTTGTTGATTTTTAAATTCTACAACTGCATGGGGGTTTTCATACGCCCAAATATGGTTATTGTGGACATTTCTGATTACATTTCTTTAAAAGTTTACTTCATATGCAAAAAGTATTCCTTAGTCAAACAAGGGATTGACAAAAATTAACATGCAAGGGAATATCTCTGGAAAGTAATGCTTGGACTCGTTGAATATGATATGGGTACAATAGAAAATGGTGCCAAATTTTCGAAACCATATATGTAGCGCGATAATCCCCAATGGTTGGCTTTTAACCTCATATTTATATAACATAGTACGCTTTATTTTGCAACCTTAAGTTTTCTCCATTTGTGTCGAAACGCTCTATAAAAGGTATTCCATTGAAAAAAAAAACTGTTTGTTTGTCTTTGTCTTTAACATTTGTTTAACATATAGAAAAAAAAACAAATTACAAACATTTTACTATTTTGAAACACTTAAAATAAAAAAGTTAAAGGGCAGCGACAATATAGGGGACTGCATTTGTAATATCTGGCAAAACATAAATCCAAATTTTAACACGACAACCTGGGTTGCGTATCTATATTATCTGCAATATACCTCTCTAATTTCATTCCGATATAACAATTTACCGTCTTTTGCGTTTCAGGAAAGTCATTAATCCATGACATACGTAAAGGAAATACCCAAACAAAAGATCTATTGTGCCAATTCTCCAGCAGGTACTCCGGTTTTAATTGGTTTCTATAAACTTCGCATCCTAAAGGAGCTTCTCGAAATTGATGAAACCATAACACGAACGCCAAAAACCCATTTGGGCTGAAATACATTTAATTGGTTTCTAAATTTTAAAGTCAACGCTGATGTATGTAACGAAAACATGCAATTTATTTCTGAGATCTTTATAGTAATAACCGCTGTTTGACACTATAACTAAAATTATTTCGCTCTGTTACACAGATCTCTAAGTTGCATAATTTTTTAAACTCAATGCAGCAATACATTTTCTCTAGTCTCTATTCTCAAATACTCAATTATGGATTAAGAGGGTTGAAAGTGTCACTTTAAAATGTCCGTTTAATAAAGGGGAGGAAGCTGCAATTAATTATTATGAAATTCAACTAACAGGTAGGTTGTAGTACAAATTATTAAATAGTTACAGGCAGTGCAATTAATAATGATATTCCGAAACTTAACCTAAAGTCTAGCCTAACTTAAGCATTAACTCTAATAAAACACCATGAAAATAGTAATAGATTGCAAAAAAAGTCCAATTCGAGTATTGTGTTTCGTGCACATTGAGAAAATGGGTGAAAATTTAGAAATATTTGTTCTTGTTGTGGGCAATGAATATGTCTAGAGTTAATACGGAGGAATAAGAAAATTTCGTCTATATAATAGGTCAGAGCAATCAAACAAGTTATTTAAAATTTTAAATAAAGTCATTAAATAATGGTAATATCGGCGAGTACTAAGACATATCACAACACATAAGCAAATCTGATCAATAATATTGCACGTGAAAAGTCTTGAGGGGAATATACTCCGTCCACACATATTTCTCTGATTTTTTTTTCCAGGTTATTAATATGACAATCGTACCCAAGAGACCAAACTGCTGATACATACTTCAACTTAGACCTGACGTATGAGTTATATAATATTTTTATCACTTCTGTGTTTTTAAAGTCTCTGGTGCAACGTACGATAAATCCATAGCTTTTTGAGGCGTCTGCCAGTACCACATTAACATGAGAAACAAAGGATAATTTCGAGTCGAATGTTACTCACAATTCACAGAAAGTGTAGTTTTATCAAATTTCGCAGTGTGGTACGAGAGACTACATTACTACTTGGCTGTATTAAGTGGCAAGTTATTATTTAGAGACCAATTGTTGATTTGCTGCAAACCACGCTGGAGAGTAAGAGTTAATTATCTGTTATTAAATGTTATTAATGAAAATGTTGAATAATAATGGCCCCAATATTGAGCTTTGAGGAATGCCCGAGGAAGCAATGTATTCATCGGAAGTGTAATGATAGTGATAGACGTATTGAGTGCGGTTCGACAAGTATGAAGAAAATAAATGAACAAGCGATTCGGAAAATTCAAAAGCACGAAGCTTGTGAATTAGAATTTCATTATCAAGACTGTCAAGCGCTTTTAAAAAATCAAGATATAGGACATCTATTTGAGAATCTTCTTCAATCGAATGAAATTGTTAATAGTGGAAATTAGGAAAAAAAATTATGATTTTCACAGCCCGATTTTGCATGCAAGCCAATTAATTTTCCATTTCGAATATTTATAAAATGTCTTCACTGCATTCATTTTGTTTAGTCCAAAGCCAAATGTCGGTACGTTTGAAGTATTCATATACCTTTCCTACACCTCTATTATTCGTCCTTCACTTCTTCTTTACTTCCATACAACTCTCCTGTTCCTGTATACGTTTTCTATTCTTCCATATATGTTAGGTATGGAAGTAAATGTCGAGTATTTCAAATCTACTGACCTGTCAATCTCAAATTTAATTTTATCTTTAACGGATCGAAAATATTGAGAGATTTTTGGACCAGTGGTAAATCTGTTTTTTTTTTATTATATTTTTTAAGAACTGTTGATGTGTGGTCCGTGATATTTCGAATGTTATTGGTTGTTGTTGTGTTATGTTATTGTTACTGTTGTTATTTTCTTCATTTAGAAGTATTTTTAATAGTTGTTATTTAATAAATGGACCAAATAGTTTTTATTGATATGGAAAAAATACATATCATCAATAATTATGATTCTTTTAAAGAAATACATGAGCAATTACCATAAATATTCATCAATCATCGATGAATGTAGGAGAATCAGCAAGAAAGGGACCTTCACTAAATTTGACACAGGAGAAAATGCCTAAAATGAAAAACTATTTGTACTTTTTCGAAAAAGAGAATTTGCGGGGTATTCCATTTCAAATTTTTGCAATATCGGCCCTTGAAATGAAAATTATTTTTCCTCCTATTTCAGGTTATTGAAAATTGGCGATAATGTAAGAACAGCATATCAAAGTTCTCTACGTATAAGCAGTTAAAATGTGTCAGCTTATAGATGAACACCCTATTTTGGAAAAATTAATGGAATTAAAATTTTCAAAAAATGTACTACTTTCCAAATGTTTGTGGAGGATAAACAGTTAGTTTTGGTTAGTTTATGATACATATTTTTTAATATAATAAGTCCAATTTGGAAAATGCGCCTGTTAGTTAAATTAATATGTTGAGGTGGCTTTTACTTAATGAAAATCCATTTATCAAAATAAATAAGAACTAAAAGTTCGGATTTTCACGAAATTATATATTTTGACATGACAATTGTTTCGACAACACTGTGTCTTTATCAAATGTCATTTGTCAATGTCAAATATCATTTGATAAAGACACGGTGTTGTCGAAACAATTATCATGTCAAAATATATAATTTCGTGAAAATCTGAATTTTTAGTTCTTATTTATTTTGATATATTAAAATGCGTTGGAACTTCACACATCGCCACAGAAAATAGTCTAGCGGCGTTAAATAGTACGATCTGGGAGGCCAATTTAAGGGTCCGATACCACTTGTTGGAATCACAGCTCCTTCACATCTTAGTTATTCAATTGATAAACGAAAAAGTCAGTAATCATGGCTCTATAGCTATTGACTGTAACGTTCTGGTCAACATCGTTTTTAAAAAAGTATGGACCAATTATTCCAGTTCAACATATTGACGTATCCATTCAACTAACCAAAAGTGAGCCTCATCGCTAAACAAAATTCGCTTATGAAAATTGGGATCAACGGCAACCTTGTTTTGGGCCCATTCACTGAATCTACGCCTTGCTAGATGATCCCGAGGCTTCAATTCTTGGCCGAGTCATGAACCAAGATGTTTCCTCAAAATCTGCCATAAACTGGATGAACTCATATACAATTCCTGTGCACAATGACGGATACACTGATTCGAGTCTTCCCCTTCATTACGCCCTACAGCAACAATGACATCTTCCGTACGCACTGTACGATGTCTCTGTGGATGCGTATTATCATTTGGAGTAAACGTGGTGCGAAAACGTTCCATGGCGGTGGACGATTTTCTTGACTGTAAAATGGAAGTAGTGTGCAATACGTATTTCAAACAAATGTTGAAATACCAAACCAAAGTGAACCACCAACCACAGGCTATTATTTTATTATTGCTATTATATAATAGTATACTGTGAACTGAACATAATTCACTTGACAGCTGATAAAATGAGCGCCAGTGAAAAAAGTGTTAAAGATATTTACTTCTAAAAAAACACCCTTTATATTACTCACTCTATTTCCCAGTTGAGCGACTTTTGGCACGAAGAAACGGTAAGACTTAGGTATGGTATGTTTTATACAAAATATGTCTAGAAAATTTCGAGCAATTTAAAAACGCCATAAATATTAAATATATTAAAAATTAGAAAATTGTTACTTGCCCTCTAAAATACAGACATTCAGACAATATAATATTTTAAAAGCATAAGTGACTTCAAAGAACTTCTTACCTTTAATTTTTTTTATGTGTTAAGTGTCATTCCATAATAAATGGGTACAAATTTACTGGCTCCATACGGGGAAAAGGCGACGACATTGCCAAAAAATTTGCCAATCTGCAAATTCCCCATCCAAACATGAAAGAATCTTGTCATTTTAATAAACCGACTGCCATTATATAGGGTGACGGAAATTGGATACAGTTTTAATACCAAGCTAAGTAATATGGAAAGTGGATTCGTTCGAGCGCGTAATGACTGTTTACGTTGATTATTATACACATTTAGTTCATTAGGTGATGAGCTGAAGCGATGAAGGCAGACATTTTTTTATAATACCGATATTATTGCGAATAACACTTACCCCAGTAACAATTATATGGACTCGCGTTGTGAAGCTTTAATTGCAATCTGAAACAAAAATTGTAAATCGTTAATTTTCCAAATCATTACATTTGATGACTTATGTTCATACGATATTTAGTGCCAACGACGTCAATAATTTGTTACCCGTAATGTAACTTGTCTAATTTATAAATTATTATATTGGATACTATACAAATGTATTTGTATCTTTTACTTCTTCAAATAGAGAAAAAAATGAAATATAATTTTTATTTTTTTTTAAATATTACCCACAAATATACATTAAGTCATACAAATGATAAAACCAAATTAACGATTCCAATAACATATTTATTTTCTTAATTATTTATTGACAAAACTATAAAATATAGCAGCAAGTTCTTAGTACCAGGGACAGATGTTTATTGACACAAACAAAACTACAGGGACAATTTTTGTAATACACTAATAATACTTTACTACAGAACACTAAACAATAAATTATATTTGACCCAACAACCAGGAAGCATTGTTGCTTAAAAAGTCACAAAAGTATCCGGATGCGGCGCCATCTAGTAACGCGCGGTGATACGGAGTTCAATACCAACAAAAAAAAATCAGATAATTCAAAATAAGTTGGTAATTTATACTAGCATGAAATTATCAGTAGGTATTCTACATACACAAACAAAAATATATCACAACCACTTAGTTCACAGAAGGATAAACATAAAGTGGTAAGAAACTGGTAAGAAAAAGTAAGAAACATTATGTCCAATCTCTCTTATGAAGCAAATCTTTCTATTCAAACAACACATTTAAACAGTAAAAGGTACATATCCACTAATCAGCGGATCTGCTTTAAATTATACCGGGTGTTGAAAAATTAGATTATAGCTCTAAAATATTTTGATATTCACTATTGCCTCTTCAATATAAACGTGGCAAATGGGTACACAGTGCTTAGATTAAAGTATATTTAAGTATATCGTATCATTTTTAGATTTTGTTCAAGAAACAAAGTAGATTTTGTTCAGGTTTCCCTATATCAATGACGTACTGTGATGGAAATAAGAAATAATTTCCTAAATTTTTAAGCATTTGACAAGAAATCTTAATTGGTTTAACTAAACAGAAAGCCAAACATTTAAAGACAGTTCCTGAAAGGGTTCTGACAATCTCTCCCGGCATATCATTTTAAGTGTAACATACAGGGTGTATTATTATTAGATTTGTATGGGAGTTCTGGAAATACGATTTATTGAGTTTATCAAAAGTACGCTCTGTATATTGTTTCATTTTAGATTTATGTATGACCTTTTAAATTGTTATCCTGTTCGGAAAGAAGGCTTTGGACCTTGAAAGGAGAGATAATCTTCGGTCTTTATTGATCGTTCAGTGACTTTCGAAAAAGCGCAAGATAGCTAGAAAAAAAACTAAAATGAAATGAAAATAAGTTCTCACGAAGTTCATTCTCTCTATGGGCGCAACTTTCTTTGAATTGTTGATATTACGTAAAAATCATGAAAATTAATTTTCAGTTCAAATACGGTAAATTGGGTTTAGTTTCTTTTCTATAAGTCTAAAATAAAAGAACATATAGGGTGTGCTATTTAAAAGAACTCAATAATCCGAGTTTCTAGAAATCCGGTACAAAATCTTATTTTTGATAGACCCCGTAGGTTCCATCTACAATGGCATGAAAGGAAAGAATGTATTAGCCCTTCCAGAAACCGTCTGGAAAGCAAGCAAGATATTGCTTCCTTTATATAGAACCGACAACACTGCATACTTGAAAATATTTAAGGGCGATAGAGCACCCCCTCTTACAGCAACCTGTGTAATTTAAAGTAAAGTCTATCCGTTGGCAAGATGCTTCTAAACATTATTCTCCATTAATCTAACATTTAACAACGTGTGCAAAACCACATCTTCACATCCTCAATGTGTCGAGAATAGGACACCCTGTATATATTTTGCGATATTTTTTTATGTCTTCTATATTGTTTATCGTGTTCTTGTCCGCACGGCTGTTTGGTATAACAAATTAATCTGCAAGAATATTTGTTATGCGCACGTTATTCCAAGTGCTCGTTGAATATATTCACAATCTAAATAGCGTGTACCATCCCGAATGTGAAAATGACAAACGTGATATTTCCTTATCTCTCGGAATATGTTGCGGACTAGAATTTTGCAGCCTCCACAGCTGGGTAGTGACGGAATTTAAATTGAATAGGCTAGTTTTATCAACTTTAAAGGTTTTTCGTACGTTTTATGACTGAAAAGTAGGGCAATGTTTCCTGCGGATATATAAAAAAAAATGTACGGTAGTCTTGGTTTTGTTACTGATGTATTGTAAATGTAATATCTAAAAATATACCCAATGTTTTATAAATAGTGAATCGAACTACTTTTGTTGCTTTTGTTTTCATGATAAATCATGCAATGCCGAAATTCGAATTCTAAATTTCACGTATAATAAAGAAACTATCCATCCAATGGCGCCACATGTTAGTTTCTACACTAGTGATATTCCAATAAATAAAAATTTATTTTGACAGGCAGGCATACACAATTTGACGAGAATATTCCCAAATCAGTTCAAATCACTTTGCTGCTATCCAACAGATCGAGGTCACTAACGTTGTTTCCGTCGGTAAACTAAACCGTAATGGCTCTAAATTAGTTAAAGTGACACTGTCAAAACCCACTGTGCTAAAGAGAACCGCCATATTTACACCGAAGCGGAACACTCTCCGGCGCAATGTAGATATTCGAGATATTAAAGAAGAACTGCGAGAAAACAATCTGATTCTAAAATATATCCGCGGTGTTCACACAATCTCTACAAAAAAAAACAGCCCCGCCTCCACCCCAACCAAAGAATTCACCTGTATCTTTCAGATCGTTCGAGGTCTCAGAACTAGGACACATGTCTTTTACAATTGCATAACTTCCTCAGGGTATGATATCGATATGTAAGATTATTTTGTATTTTATGTATTTATAGTTCACATTGCCCCAAACGCCGTCTGCTTCGAAGTTTTTGAATCCATATTGAATCTTAAGCAGAATAACTCTGATTGAACTGAGGTGGCCTTTACTTGTTGAAAATCCATTTATCAAAATAAATAAGAACTAAAAGTTCAGATTTTGATATGACAATTGTTTCGACAACACCGTGTGTTTATCAAATGTCATATTTACAAACTACCTGCTACTATATATACCGAAAAATGACCATAAAACCTTAATTAATGTTGTTGCGAGAATTTAAGTTCAATAAAGGAGAGGTATTTAAATCTAATTGATCGTTAAGCAATACATTTGAATGTCTCATTTTGTTAATCTCCATGGCTTCCAATAAATTTAATTTTCTACTTTTTGTGGCTGTGTGTAATATATCACAATTGTCGTCAAAAATGTGTTTTTCTGTGTTTAAGTGTGTAGCATAATTAGAATCTAGACTATTGTTTTTAAACGCTCTTATATGAACGTTAATGCGTTTCTTGAAGGATCTACCTGTTTGATTTTGGACATTTCGATTTATTGTTTTTTAAATATTTTCCTATTGTGTTGTTAGTTCTGAAAGCTATTTTTAAACCACATTTTGACAAATGTTTTGAAACTTTTTCGCTAGATTCGCCTATGTATGTAATTGTTTTAAATTGTTCGTGTTCTGTATTTGGTTTCGGATAAATAGAGTTTAGTGTTGTCTGTATTTGTTTTTTATTTATAATTTTATCTATAATTGACGGATTGTAGCCATTGTTCAGTGCTATTTGTTTAATGATATTAAGTTCTTTGTTGTAATTTTCTGTTGAGAGTGGCGTATTAAGAAGTCTGTGTATAAAAGAGTTAAATGCAGTCATTTTGTGTGTATAAGGGTGATTTGAGCTGTTATGTATGACTGTGTCCGTGTGTGAAGGTTTATGATATATTGAAAAATCTAATTTGTCTTGCACTTTCGTAATAGTTAAGTTTAAAAAATTAATAGAGTTATCCTGTTCAATCTCGATAGTGAATTTTATACGATTATGTATTGAATTAATGTAATTTAAAAAAGAATTCAATTGTCTGTCCGTTCCAACAAAGCAAGCAAAGACATCAACCACATTTAGAATAACTCTGTGCTAACCTAAATAATAGTTGCGTAGACCTAGTTTTTACCAACTTCGAATCTGAGATAGTGACAAAATAGTTTCCCACCGAGCTCTTCTACACATCTCAAATGTTCCAATGAATATTAGCGATCAAACCCAGTTTAACTTCATGAAGGCCAAGTATCCTTATATGTATGAGCATATGCAGCATGGAGACTGGAATAATGTTATAGAGTGCTCGGATGTCGACACGACTTTAACACTTTTTTTTACGACAATCTGAACAATATTTTTACCGTTTGCACGACCACTGAAACAGGCGATTTCTACCACGGTTCATCAAAGAAATGATCGTAAATATATATGGAGGAGAGAGCTTTGCGCAATTTTAAGCAACACAAATCTTATTATTTGGGCAGATATACCGCACGGCGCCTATACCGATTTTGTTCGTCGTGCTGAGTTAAGCAGACATGATAGTCCTACCAATTTTTGGTCACTTGTTCAGAGTAAAAAGGCAGATTCGCGGATCGTACTCACGGTGTCTTATTCGAATCAGCCCTGCCATGCTTAGTATGGTTATTGCAATGTGGCAAAGTATTTTAGTAACGCTTACACGATATCCCAACCGGATCCATATTCATCTTCAACCGTGTCTTTCAATTCTGATCTAGTCAACATACCTACCCTTACCCTCCAGGATGTCTTATCAGGAAGCTACGCACTCAAAAACATAATGACTGCCTGTCCTGAGAGCATACCAAGTTTTATGGGCATTATTATTACGCACTGTGTGCTCCTTCATTTTTAACTTGGTACTTGAAACGAGTGTTTATCCAGAAACTTGGAAAAAGTATTCAAAAGCAGCACATCATTATTGCCAGTCAGTGGTGTACTAAATATAAATTGCATATTACCATCACCAAGTGAAATGTGGTTTCGTATCACCACCCAAAAACT